CTCAGGGCTCGGCAAACTTCATGGCTGTCATGCCAGGTCTGAGAAGTGGATGTGATGAAGTAGCAGGACCCATTCCAGCTCTGCCAAGATTCCTTGCAGATGTTGGCATTCAAGATGCAAGAATCAGGGCCCATCGAGACAATAATTCCTGCAGTCAGCAAGAGCAGAGCCCCCAAACCCTGAATGGTGTACATCTTGAAGAGGAGTGTAATCTTAAATGGCAGAAGTGGAAATTAAGAAGAGTCTGTTTGCAGACTTGGAAGTGCGGATTACTCCAATTAGTTACAGATTTTGAAGCGAGATCTTGGATGTGCTCCTTCAGAAAGAACTGTACAATCGAATGATTCGTTGTTAAATCAGATAGCATGCAGTTTGTTAAGTTGCAGCGTTCAATCAGCTCAGACTCTGCTCACGAGATCTGGCTTCTCCTCCACACTGTCGGACTGGTGTCCAAGCCTCGGTTTTCGTTCTGTATGTTTTCAGCACAACTCGTCTCCATCGGCTGCAGTGGTTTTACCCATCCACACTTGGGTACCAACCAAACAGTGTTCATGTAGCTAACAGTGTACACGAAACTGTACCAACCTCCATACAGTCTCCATACCAATACACCACCAAACAATTGTATCCCCTGACAACTGCTGTTTGATTGAATTTCGGCTGATTTGGATCAAGGTCTTTATAATCACTGCAAGGCAGACCATTTCCTGCATTTCCAGTCGTACATCTTAATTTGCTGTTTTCAGCCTGGGAATTTACGGCAATATACAGTCCATTATTACCATGTCTGCGAGCTTATGGTATTTATTTTCTGTTTGATTGATTGTCCCTTTTTTAATTGTGGTTGTTTCATTTTTAAAGTTGTGATTTACAATTTATAAAATAGCCATTTTGTTTTCATGGGGAAATACTTATTTTTTTTTAATCCAAAAACATGTTCTAGCATCTTACAACATTTCTTTGTTTCGATTATAAGTAGGATCATTGTTGTGTTTATTCCAAGTTTTTTGAAAAAAGTTTGCTGGAATATTTGTAGGTTTTAGAAGTTTTTTGATGGTTCTTTTGCACTTTCTGATCTGAAACACCTGCATTTTCGCAAAGTGGTTTTTCTAAGCCCTAACCTTCCAGGATAATTTGGCCAGAAACCCAGGCAGACGCTCCAGTCTGCACCATTTGTCGAAGCGGTTTGCCTGCCCAGTGCGAAAAGAGTCCAGCAAGTCAGCTCTTGCTAATAAAGCCAAGCAGCCAGGCGAGTCCGTGGCACCAGCCACCATGGAATTCCAAAGTGGCGTCGTTGGATGGCACCAACTCCCATTGTCTCCACACAGGCGGTTTGTTTGGCTGACGTTGACTGCCCAGTGGTACAGAATACACCGGACTTCTACAGCTGCCTTGCTTTGCTGCACCTGCTAGGGTTAGGGTCAATTGAAGAGAGGAAAAAAAAACTTAACCTGGTAATCAACATGCTGGTTGGTGGAACCCACCTACGGTACAGCGTACGTTTTCAGCATGCAACATTGCCTCCCATTTGCCTCCATGTAGATGGCAGTGTAGATGAGTATCGGGTTCATAAGTGACTTCGTCACAAAGGCGGATGTGCCGAGATTTGCAGGCTCTCGTCGGACAATCGCTGAAGTTGTGCATTAACTTCCAGTTCAAAGGTTCCATGTAAACGGCAATCAATGCTTGTTTGTACTCTATGTGCAGTGCATGTGCAGTGGGCACGGTTTAAACTGAAGTGACATCACACTTACGAACCGGAGAGGTTTGTAGTTGGAAGTCCCCGAATGACAGGTATAAGACTTCGTTCTATTTTGGGGTACAAAATTTCACACTATGGGACTTAAAATTATGTATAGGTTTATATATTAAGCTGCCTGAAATGTCAATTTCACTACAGCAAACATATAAAGGAGAAGGGGAGGGTTATATCATACTCAGTTGATCAAGGAATAGTGACAGTGACATTGTTGTTTTCAACAGGTCAGCAACCAAGACATTGGGATTGTCCTGTTTGGACAGAGCCTGGAAATCCGCATCCAAGGCCGAGAGGAAGAAGGTCCGCTCTTCGATGCTGATCCGACGGCCTCGCTCAGCCAAGCCGAAGTCAGTCAGCGGGCGTGGAACAGCATCGACTTTGCCTATGGTACGCCTTGCTTTCACCAGTCTTCGAGAGAACTAAGTCTGACTCTTAAGACTGGAAGTGATGAAGTCCTGGAAGTCCTAGTGCACATTTGCTTTGAGGTTTCTCAAGATACACGCCATGCACTGCATTTCGTATCTCAAATGCTGCCGAGTTCAGATCTTTCCGCCTCCTGTTAAGGCATGACATTCATAGTTGTAATGGTAACGCAATCTTTTCAGAAGTGACAAGACTTAAGCTTTCTTGTGTAAACTTAGCTTTGTGGCCATTGTTTCTTGTGCAGCAGCTTTTGGCCTTCAGTTTCTCACATGATAATGCATGGATTTTCTTTGTTTTCTGCTCAGACCCACCCAGGGTTCCGATTTGCCTTTCCAATGCATCCCTGTCCAGTGGTGCAGTTTTCCCCCCTGGTGCCGTCAACGCGGATGGCTCTGTGGGTAAAATCCACCGCCCCATCACCAGGAACGACACCGTGGATTTTGCAAGGTGGGTAGCGTACGGATTTGAAACTAAACTCGCTGCTTGTTTCCAGCATGGCTTTCCAATTGTAAGTGCTTGAGGTGAAGTCATTTTAAGTTTCTTTTCCGGCTCTGAAATGTGTCAGGGACTCGGTCAGTGTCAGGTCCACAACCCTGGCACATTTTTGGTTGTAGCCGGAGAGAGCCTTATGTTAGAAATCTCTCAACCGATTTGTTCACTAGCTTTCACCGAAGAAATGAGGACGTATTGTTGTATGGAATGACTGTCCTGCACTAGTGCTGGATAGATCGTTTGTGACCACTATTTGTCACGTGACCTGTAGCAGGTAATAATTACCAACAAACTCGGCGTCCACCAACAGCAAAGTGTTTCATAAGTATCATTTACCAAAAATAAAGCCGACGGTAGGTACCGTACTCAGACTACTGATTTGTTGGGCACTATACCATAACTTCGTTTTATTGTGTGAAAATAACACTCAAAACGCACGTTGCAATAGGGTTGTACCCACTATAGGTCACATGAATTAATGGTCTATTCCATTACATACATGTACCACCTCAGGCTGTGTTCAGTTATTGGTATCAACAATCTATACAGTTTTGGCCGTGATTGTTATGAAATTGTGGGAAAGTTTGATTCTTTCCTATTCGTTGCTTCTCAGTTTGGTGCAGTATCCTGGTACTCTGATAGCTTTTGAGAATGAAGAGAGATCGGCCGCTTGGTGTGGAGTTGAGGACAGGAGCTGTGTAGACTGCACGGCACACATGAAGGGGTTCGCCTTAAACAGCAGGTAGGCCGTAGCATTTTCTGAGCCCTTTTGCTGAAAGTTTATCATTTGACGGAGAAACTAGATTTGCTGCAGGTATAGCCCGTGGTCTGTTTTATTTTAGCTTATTATTTTGACCGGGGTTTTCAGAAATTTGTCTCCAGGATTGGTTTGAGGCTGCTTCCCCTTCAGAATTGTTGAGCTCAGAGTGGAGAAGCTCGACTTCAGTGGAGCTTCAAGGTGTCTGATATGAAGCTAACTTTTGGAAGATTTTACATTTCAGAAGCATGTGCGTGACGTGTGTGGAAGAAACATCTTTGAGCATGAGATGAGCCAGAAGAAAGCTGAAGTCAGAAAATAAGGTGCACTTGAACTGTCGTCAAGCACCAGATGTGAAACTTGCAAATCTCGCTCTTGTCAAAATCATCCGGCTGTGATTAAATTTACCCACCAACATTTAACAGCATTTTATATTCTTCTTTAATATTGTTGTTGGTTGAGTAGGCTCGTGCTGGAGAAAAATTTCAAAGTATGCTACCGAGTGGGTTGATAGTTGCAAAATATTTAGTGGTTTGTAGAGTTGGTGATGAGGTCACCAGTGGTGTTTATGAACCCTGGGGGGCTGACCAGAAGAGGGACCTATTTCTCGAGGTCAATTAGGACCCTTCTCTGGTCACTCACTGGCCGGAGATGTATGGTGTACACTATAGGGACTGAATTATCCAAGTGCTTTATAATACCCCTCTGTCCAAAAAGTGAGGTAAGAAAAGGAACCTTTCAAGGTTTTGTAATTCATGACCTGCAGGGGGTGCTGTAACCAGTCAAATATTTTAAGTATAGTGCCCGATCAGGCACTATACTCCGAATATTCCCCCCTCCCCCCGCAATGTCTTGACACAGATGCAGATTTCGAAATCCAGCTTAAATATCAGTGAACCTTTTTTTTTCAAGATGTACTTTGCGTCGGGGGATGTTAATTTTCATTACGGGTTTTGCCCTTTACCCGACGTATATTCATAAACACTGAATTCTCAGTGCCTGTCTGGTCCGAGAGCTCGTGAAAAACATTCATAAGCTAACTCGGGTAGGACTCTAACCCACGACCTGCTTACTAGTGCAGACGTGTTAACCACTCTACCATTGAGCTTGCTGGGGTGGGCTGGCCGGCCCAAGTCAAATGTAGCAGCGGGCACCGCAAACTATTTTTCAAGATCTATGTTGAACCCCATATGACTTTGCCGTAAAGAGTGTTAGTAAATAACCTCAGTGTTTCCTCTTTTTTTTTTACCAGATGTGCCGATCGGACCATGAGTGCAAGGTTGATGGCAACTCTGAAGACCCTGGGAAAACTTGTCAGCATTGAGTGGCCAGGAGGTATCGTAATCTTTCCCTTGAGTTCATTGCAGTTTTCATTTTCGTTCATTAACTGATCAGCACTCCCTGCAAATAGCTCAAGTTTTTTTCATGCACATCATGAGTTATTTTGGGATTATTCCAGTCTTAGCCCCCCCTCCCTGCATTGACAATCTTGGGTGTGGCATTGACTCACCCAAAAGTTCCTTTAACCACTTCATGCCCGGGCATTTTTCAATGTTGATGATGCTGGGCCGGCATAATTATCATTTTTTCCATTTTCAAAATTCTTCAAAAATTCATCATTTCATTTAATGGATGTTTATAGCCACACGAAGTAATCTTTAGGCACTACTCTAAGTTGACAGGGGACCTTCATTGATGCCTGAGTATTTCAGCCAGGCCTGCAGCCTTGTAAAAAGAGCCCAGATTGTGCGGTGTTATGTAGCTTTCTTTTGTCCACGAACCTGGCTCAGTGCACTGCTGACCTAAATGCCCCAAACCCTGGTATACGGTTTTAAAACAAGGCTGGATTATCACCACTTTTGAGAGTGAAAAATGTTGCCAATGCTCAGCAGCCTGGTCTTTTGTTTGGAGTACAGTTTTTTTACACGGCCCTGTTTCCTTTGTCCGAGTTCGGAGACCCCGGCCAAGCTTATAAAGCATACGTCTCTGATTCCGGAGTCCCCGGCAGGAAGTGGTTAATGAAAGTTGTCCTGAATACAAATTTTCAACAATTGCAAGTATCTTACTGTCTTGCTCCTCGCCATGAGCCCATTATATAGCACTCTTTGAGTCTTCTGCATCCTCCCTCTTGTCTTCCAGTGAAATTGTTAGTGTTGGAGGCCTGGGACGAGGCTCATGAGGGCAGCACATACACTGATGGGGACCAGCCAGCTGGTTCCCTGCACTATGAGGGACGTGCTGCAAAGCTTTCGTTGTCGGACGGAGACACTTCCAAGTTCAGTCGCCTAGCAGGACTTGCAACCTGTGCAGCAGCCGACTACGTTGAACACAACGGTTAGCATTCTAAAGTTGTCGAGAAAAATGCTCTTGATTATTTGCTTTGAATGGGCCGCATTATTTCTCTTCTTCCTAGAGATACTCCAGATTTCAACTTTATTCCCTTTACAGTCCTGTAATTGTTAATACACTAAAGTTTGCGGAGTTAAAGTGAACACCTGCAGAACTTGGGTGTGTTTGTTGATGGAGCTGATATAAGAACTTTGACTTTAATCTGTTCAGAACATCTCCGCTTATCCAAAACAGGTTTACCAGCAAATGTTGATGCTGATAGTTAAAGTCGATGACTAGTTCTATGTTGATTTTTGGCCCAGATTTTTGCCAGTGCGGTGTGATCTTTGAAGCATTCAAAGGTGTTGCTTGTATGTTCTCATATATGTTTGATACCAGGTCAAGTCTATAGTCTTGTTAAACCTCGTTAAAACTCACATCTACCCTGACCAGGTGATCACATCTTCGTCGCTGCCAAGAAGCAGGCAGGCATGACGGCCATCACAGTCACCTTTCCTCGGACTGAGCTCCTTGTGGTCGAGCCACCAGCCAGCGAAGCTGTGGAGTACCAGCTCCCCGAGGGTTTTGAGGGAACGGAGAGCCAACGGCCGCTCTTTGACAAGGATCATCAGGTTAGAGCCTCATCAGCTGCCTACCTGGACAAGTGCTTTATTCCTTTAGAGGACATGAGAACAAAAGCAGTGCCTGTAGTGTAGGTAGTGAGGACCTGCCCAGGTCCACACAAGGTTTTTCCATCTTTACATTTTTTTTTGTAGGGCTTATGGCTGTTTGCAGTAGAATGAAGAGGACTGTTTCAGGAAATCCTAAATGAAAATTCATTGTAAAGGAAAAACTATTTTTTCTCTCTTTTTCTTAAAATTCTTTCCTGAAAAAATACCACAACAGTGTAGTTACGTAAACTTTGTTCAGTAAAAAGAATTTGTTTTGAAAAGTATTATTTGGTCCTTTTTTGTTTGTAACATAGTTGGGCGTGTTGCTGTCTGACGATGCCACGGTGAACCAGTTCACGTCTGAGGACGGCCGATATTTCCGTCTTAGTCCCCATCTCCTGCTATGTTATCAGGACCTGGTCAGCCAGGAGAAGAAATGGAACACTGGTAATTTGGGTTAATTTCTGTGCTCTAATTCTTGGGCGAAATTCCACGCCTTGTCGGATGGAGAATGGTCCAGTGGACCGGGCACGGTAGAAGTTCCGTGCGTGTGCTTGTGTCCAATTGCTGTGTTTTCGAGTGACTGTTCATGTTGGACGACAGTGTAAGCTGTTCTTGGCCCTCAACAAATTTCAAACTTCCTAAGGTGCTTGATGGAAGGCACGACGTGTTTAGGATCTTCACGTTGAAGCTGCTGTGATCATCGTAAACGTGATTTGCACTCACGTGGCAAGCGTTTGTGGTACCAATTCACAAAATAGGATACGTTTCAACTCTTGAAAAATTTTGCCTGGACATACATCTTGAAGTCAAATGCCACTTGCTTTTGCATTTGATTTGGTGCAATTTAAACTAATCCAATTCTGATTTATTTGTTAAAAGCACATCTTTTTGATGAGACTAAAAATTAGATGAGTCTTAAGAGACGTAAAATTACAAATTAAAGTTTGAATGCACTGGTATAACTGGGTAGATGACAGAAAATTCCAGTTAGGTAGAGAACAGAAACTTGCCAAAGAAAAAAAAAATCAAATTAGCACCTCAAAACAAGGTTAACTACGGTCCCAGCTAAAAAAGCCACAGTACGTACAAATTGTATGTGTCAAACTCCAAATTTCAGTATGATGGCAAGTTTTCCATTCTTGCTCTTCCATTTCAGGAGCAAAGATCAAAGTCCTTCAGGGCTTCATGACCAAGACCGAGCACAACAACATCAACCTGTTGGACCCGCGCTACGGTTCGCCCATCCTGGGCCAAGGCATGGAGTTGACCTACGACCCCGAGCATTCGGACGCAATGGTCCACCACCCGGAGCGGTTGATGCGACACGCGATCACTTTGTGCGGCCCTTCCTTCGTTGAAGCTGGCTTCAACATCGGCATCGGTGAGTGCGTGCCTGCCTGACGAAATATTCAAAGCATAGTCTCTTTTTCTCAAGAATGACGCTAAAGTTACAAAAAGAATCAGGATCCATTTATTGCTTTCTTAACACCTCAGTATGCACTTTGTTAGCAAGTATGTTCAAGGTGCAATCCACCATGTATCATCTGTATGCTATGCTCCTTTGAGAAAACAAACATGGTCGAAATCTTGAAAGGAAGATGCCAAACAACTAACCAGATGAAGTTTCAGCTAAGTGAATGCTGTATACTCCAAGAAGAACCATGTTTTAGGATCTTGATGCCAAATCAGATTACCAAGTCAATTTTGAATTGTGCCCAAATTCAGCGCCTGGGACATGTTCTCATTCAACCTAATGTGGCTATTTGATATTGCGGGCTGAACTGACAAAATGTCGTACCTGCGCGCGCATGTGTCATGTCAACGCTTGCCTGCACTTGACCGAGTAAAAAACTAACAACTGACGGCAACTTCCAAAAATGTGTCTTCAGACCCATCATTGGAAATGGTCTTCTGTCATTGTTTCCTTCAAAATAATAGCTTACCGGAAAGAATAATTTTTACAGGGACTTTATTCTCAAAACCATCTTAAAACCAAGCCTGCTTTGCAACAATAATTTCACCAGTTATTTTTTGGAAAATCGCAAATAATAAGACTATAACTTTAAATGCTTCTGCAGCCAACGGGGTTGCCACAATGCATCTGTACCCCCTTGGCAAGCTTTAGAACCTATGTGAGGCCAAAGACTGCCGTGATTGGGTGGATTCGGAATGCGTTTCAGAATGTCGGCTCAGTTGTTAAAGGTCATTACGGCAAAAATGTAATTTTTGAAAATGCTCTTAAGGGGTCAACTTAAACCATGCACAAATTATTGTATCAAAACAGACTACCTTTTTTTTGCTTTTATTCATTAAACTAGTTTTTGGGGACCACGATATTTCGATTTCAACCAATTTCCATATTTAAAACAATAGTTTGTGTAAAAGATTGCATGCCGTTACCAAAAATGGCTCTGTGCATTTCTCTTAGGGCAGCTACTTAACCCTAACAGTCCCAAATCCTCTGATTTCAACATTATTTTACATATACCCTAGGGAGTTAGGGGCACATCTAAGCTGCACTCTGTCTCGGTTTTCCAAATAACATAAGTGGTGCTAAGCTAATTTTCAGTTGAATGAGCACAATCTTTGTTTCAGCCAACCTCAGTCACAGTTACCTTCGCGCATTTTCTGGCAAGGACATTTTCGTATAAATGTTCAGTTTTGCTTGGTTTGGGTCATGTGCTAGGTCTGTACGAGGACTCGGTCTTCATTGACATGCGGAAGACATTCCACACCTGGGTCGAGAACGGAGATCTCCTCGGGCCGGGTGAGACGGAGGAGGACTTTAAGAACGAGCAGGGGCGGTGGCTGGTCAGGGCTGTGGGTGAGTAAAACACCAGACTCTAGCTGTCTAGTTATCCGAAGCCAACTCTCCCATGCATTCTTCACAAAGTGGACCTGTCAGTCAAAATCAGTCCAATGACCCCTATGTGTCTGTGTACTGTGGCAAATCATGTTGAAGGGATTTTTGACTGTCTGCGACTGTTGCGGTGAAAGGAGAGCTAATGACATGAAACATGAACAGGATGATCAGGAAAGAGATAGAATGTTCAAAATGGTTACCTGTTTCTTGTTTCAAGAGTCAAATGGATTTGGACAAGTGGAAATTTCAGAGCGTAACAGAACCCTCAACATTCAAAAGAGTTCCATTTTTCATAAAATCCCCCAAAAGCAAGCACTTCCTTTGCTAAATCTCAGAAAAGTCATATTTTTTAGACGAAATATAATTTGTGCTTTGCGGATATTATTGTTTTTTGGGGGTATTTTTGCCCTATGCTGACGTATATTAATTTAGTAACACTGTTGTTTAGGGGCTTTTTGAAAAATAATTTACAGGCTCTTGAATGGGACTTGAACCCACAATCCCTTCCTCAGTTGTGTTGGCGTCTTACCACTTGACAACCAAGCTTGTTTGGGTTTGCCAGGCCGGTTTGAGTTAAGTGAGCTATGGTACTATGCCAACCATAAATTTGTAATTGTTTATTTTGTAAAAAATGATTACCGTGACAGCAAGTTGTAGGCATCATGTATCATGTAGCTTAGTAAATTTTGCCCCAAAACCCAAAAGACCCCAAATTTTGAAGAGAAAAAATCATAATTTTGGGCCAATTTTTCTCTTCACGCAAATGATGATGATCCATTTAAAGCGAATTTATGTTTCGCAGTATTTGATGTATCCGTGGAGTTTATTTCTTTCCCGTCTGGCTTTCTGTAGCCCCTTCGGGGAAGGAGGCTGTTATTATTAGGAGTGATCTCATGTGAATTTCTGGTTCATCACAGAGGGGCGTATTGTGGATCCCAATGATCCTATGCTTGCCTGCAGTACGTCCTACCAGCCCAAGAAACAGAGTATTGACTTTGTACACACTGCCCCGGCATCTGTCGCGAGCTCAGCTGACGACGAGAAGTGCGTGCCGAGGGAAAATACGCCGTTCTGCATGAGGACAGCTCAACACAGACAGGAGCAGGTAATGCCGATCAAACATTCTGTGTCATCACAGCGGTTTTTGTTATAAAGTGCATGAGTAAATTGCTCTCATTTTATTGGTGGATTTTTAATCCCACGTCGTTGAATTATTCCACCCAATTCAGAGTAAGGCCACATGCTGCAGCACCCGAATAAATTCCCGTGATGTGATTGGTGGGTTGCCGATCATTTGGAGTCGCGCATGTGGCAGAACTAGAAATGTATTATACTTTTTGTAAGCATCGTTTCATAGGAGTAGTTCCCCTCAAAGAATACAGTTTTGGTTTAGCGTTCCCCTGTATTTTTCTGTTAGTGTATCCCCCCGTTTATTTCTTTTAGCCCTTGATTCTATCCATATAACTTGACCCCCCATGCTCTGACCACTTAGTTTGAAGAGCAAACCAGCAGAGACACTATCATTGTTCATTTGTTTCTCCTCATCGGAGGGTGCGATTTTTGCTTGAGTCAGGTTTCTGTCTGTGAGTCAGTGATCGAAAGCTAAACTCTCCTCATTAGATCTATTTTGACACACTGTGTTGGTTTTTAGTTCTGGAGTCCTTTTTTTTGGTTTTTAAAATTTTTTGTCAGTACTTTTTCATTAATAAATTCTTTTGTGTTTTTCAAAGTCAAATGTTGGTGTCTGAGTCCTTGTTAACTCAGTTTCGTGCGAACCTTTCCCACAACGATCCTTGGTTTAGTTAGAGATTTTTTGATCTTTTGCGAGTTCCCCCATAGTGTGCCATTTTTCCCGGTTACACGTACTAAACTTAGGAGGGGGCCATGGGGGGCACGTCCCAGCGTCCAATGCCTGTTACCCCCCCTTCCCTTCGGTCAGTGTTTCACCTTTTACTCCATGAGACAGAGGTACCTGCAAGTCAGATCCTAGCATGCTCCCTCCACAAAATGAGGGCCCTAAAGTTTGCCTCTGCCAAATGTATCCCAGTTATGCCATTAACCACATCGTGAATTATTTGGTGTAAGCAGCAATTGACCGTTGATCATATCTGTTGAATATACCGATGAACTGTGCATGTGAAACATGTGTGGACAGTATGCATGAAAGTGTATTTTATGTAACAAACAATGTGTGTTACAATATTCGTGCACGTTGTGGTCCTACAGTCGCTGGTTTTCAATTTTGGGTGATACTGACAAACATCAAATGCCATTTTGTCCTCTGTCATGAAGGTTCCTCTGTCATGAAGGTGAAGATTCCGCTTGGCATTGCCTTGTGGAACAGAACGTTAAATCTGTCACCTCATGAAGTTGTTCTTACCATTTCGCCCATAACCTTTCATTGTTTGTGTACTAACCCATGATGAATGGAACGTTCTGAACCACGGTCACAAGAAATGCCAGTCTGTCACTTCATGAAATTGTTCTTACCATTTCACACGTAAACATCTGTATACTAATCCATGATAAGTAGAACATCCTGAACCACAGTCACAAACAATTTCTGAGGTATTTGGTGTCGCCGGTATTATAGGTGGAACGCATCTGGAAAGAGGTGACCAGGAAACACTTGCTGCACAATGTTGGTGAGGTGAGGGCTGCCCTGGAAGGCTGCGTGGGTGCCTGCTCCACCTGCAAAGAAGGTGAGGGGGAGTTCAGGTGGGGTGGAAGGGGAGTGGGCGAGGGCGAGAGAGGGGTGTAAGATATTGGGGGGGTCTGGGCAGATCATTATGGGCGTGTCGACACCTGCTCTGCATGCAATGAGGTTTAGGATGGGTGCGTACTTGTTTGCCCCACCTCAAAAGGAGGTGAGACAAGAATGAAGGGGTGGGGTGGGGGGAGATACAACTCTAGGGGAATACAGTTTAGGAGGAGATGGTTGCATCCTGGGCGTCTTTCACCCGACTTTCCATCTTCTCCCACCCAACAAAATGAATAAGATTGGTGGTGAAAGAACACTTTGGCACTTAACAAATCGCCTCACTGTTCTAAGCTTCCAGACCTGAATTTTTCTAATTTTGGTTGGTTACTAACCATTTCTTGTCTCGTCCAATCAGGAGAATTCTACAGTAAGAAGGTGGAGAACTGCAACAACTTCCTCCATTGGGTGCCGTTTGGTTTCCTGGAGGAGAAAGACGAGACAAACCTGTACGTGAGGGCCAACACCGAATTGAAGATTGCTGCCTGCCGTAGACACTGCATAGACAAGACGCCGCTGTTCTCTCTCATGGGTGAGTGATATCTCTGGGCCATCTTTGGCAGTCTCTTGATATTGAGAATACTCATTGTAAGCATTTCTTAGCTGAGTCATTAACTGGTTGAATCTAGAAATGGTTTGTTCTCCACAGGCACTGTGTATACGCTAGATGTTACCTCATGAGTAAATTAACTCAAGAATGAGTTACAGGCACTGTGTATGCGCTATATGTTACCTCATGAGTAAATTAACTCAAGAATGAGTCACAGGCACTATGTATACGCTAGATGTTACCTCATGAGTAAATTAACTCAAGAATGGGTTACAGGCACTGTGTATACGCTAGATGTTACCTCATGAGTAAATTAACTCAAGAATGAGTTACAGGCACTGTGTATACGCTAGATGTTACCTCATGAGTAAATTAACTCAAGAATGAGTCACAGGCACTATGTATACGCTAGATGTTACCTCATGAGTAAATTAACTCAAGAATGGGTTACAGGCACTGTGTATACGCTAGATGTTACCTCATGAGTAAATTAACTCAAGAATGAGTTACAGGCACTGTGTATACGCTAGATGTTACCTCATGAGTAAATTAACTCAAGAATAGGTTACAGGCACTGTGTATACGCTAGATGTTACCTCATGAGTAAATTAACTCAAGAATGAGTTACAGGCACTGTGTATACGCTAGATGTTACCTCATGAGTATATTAACTCAAGAATGGGTTACAGGCACTGTGTATGCGCTAGATGTTACCTCATGAGTAAATTAACTCAAGAATGGGTTACAGGCACTGTGTATGCGCTAGATGTTACCTCATGAGTAAATTAACTCAAGAATGAGTTACAGGCAGTATGTATACGCTAGATGTTACCTCATGAGTAAATTAACTCAAGAACAGGTTCCAAGACGTATTGGATCTTGTGGCAGATGCTACCTTGTGAGTACATTAACTCGACACTGGGTTCCAAGAAGTAGTGGATCTTTTGTCTTTCCAACAGTTCCCACTGTTGAGAAACTCTATCGACCAGACCCTAATCGCAGCATCAAGGAGCGACTATATGCTGAAGAGAACAACCCCTTGCCCGTCTATGAGCTGATGCAGAAACTGTATGCCATCCATGCGTCTGGCATCCTGACTGTTTGGGTCAAAGATGTTGCGGAACTGAACATCCTGCAAGAACCCCTGAAGGTGGGTGGTTTGTGCATTGGTAGCTGATGTAATGGTGTTGTCTTTACTTTTCACCCTGGCAACCTCTGACCTCTGATCTAGGGGTATGATAGACTGGTGTTTGCCTTACCCTAACCTTCTACTACTGCGACCCAGTTTTGAATTTAAACCAAGCCGATTTATCATAATGAATGGGTTTCCCAGTGGATATATCTGCTTTCCCGTGGAATGTTTCCTGGCATTTTTGGTAGTGAAACCAAAGATTCCTCACAAGTGCCCCTATGCATTGTAGCTCACAAGCCTGAAGAGACCTGTAGAGAGGAGAAATATAAGAAGCAGCCACAGATTTAGTGGTGGGAGGGTAAAAACCATGGATTCAGGTATAGAGACTGAAAACCCAATCCACATGTGGGCCAAGCCAAAGAACCACTACACAAACCTTAGTGGAATGAATTTTTCTTAGAAATAATTTTTCTGTAACTTTGTATTCTTCTTAAATGTCTGAAAACCTCATGCATTTTTTTGGTTTGGTTAAATGCATTGAAAATGCACTTTTATAAACACTCAAAATCATCCATGATTTCCTGGACAATTGAGGGCACTGTTACTGTGATGTCATCTAAGGAAGACACAGTTCAGTGGAGAGATTTTTCTGTTCAAATTACTATCTGAAAACATTTTTGAGAAAGAGATTGATGCTTGCTCATTGCTGTGCACATAAACAAAGAGGTGCAAATTTAGTCCAACAAAATCTACAAAAAATGGAGGACTTTTTTTGTACAAACCAATTCAGGCTTTCTTCCTGGGATGAGATCACAGTAGTGCTCATGAATATGGAAAAACTCATTAACATAAACACCAGAACGGCAGTAAAACATCCCCCCGGAAATAGTGTAACAACAGTGGAAAATGAGGTTAAAAGAGACGCAGAGGTGCATTGTGAAGGATTGTGTTTTATTGATTGCAGCTGCCCTTTGAAGTTTTCAGGTTTTTGCAGGACTCTCTTGTTTCAATTTGGGGGTTTAGTTCGTTTTGCTCTTCAGAGCAAGGCATGCATTGTTAAGCATGCCACAGTCGACACAAGCTGTGATATCAAACTCCCTAAAATTCTTCCTTTCCGTCTCAGGTGGCTATGTTGTACAACAAGAATGTGACGCAGGTCAGATTCTATGCCACTCCCTTGAACCAGGCGAGCGTGGCAGGTCGAGTGGCCGACCTGACTGCCGAGTGGACCAATGGGGGATGTCTGGACCACTCTCGGACTTTCCTACCTCCTTACGGGAAAGTCATGGATTTGCCGTCAGGTAAACCATCCATGCATTATCAGTGAATGACAAAGTCTTTCACTTCCTGGGAGGAGGGTCGTGTGGTCTAGGGATTAGGATTTTTGGATAAGTGTATAAATGCATACCTGTGTGGCTGCAAATGTTTATGGGTTTGGTTTGCCGTTTACACCTGAAATGACAGCATCATGCTCTATACTCCCCAGGGAGCTAAGATGGTTTTTTTGTGGGGTGGGGGAGATTTTTATAGGCCCAATAATAATGATGTGGCACAGTGATAACCGGCACACTGGGCTAAAAAGTGCTGCTAAGTGCGCAATTTTATGCCGACAGAGGCTCCGTGTTTTTCATGGAGAATTTAAGTAATGAGCTCAGTAAAGACGCGCTCACCTTGGAGGAAAGATTGGCTTAACAGTGGAAATCTCTAAGCGTGCCCAATTGTAAGCATGCTAAGTACTGCCATGAAACAGTGTTACAGTCAGGAAAATTTTCTGCTACAGTAAGCATAACTTTTCTGCTAACTGTTAAGCAGCTCCACGAAATTGAGCATTTGAGTTTCTGCTTAATGCTCCTGCTGTCTTATATATCTGGCTACATCAGAAAGTCTTTTCACTTGTGGATGTTGTGAGAGTAGGAAGCCATGTAGGTCTAGCCCTTCTACTAGGGGATGAATTAGTTTGCTCTTGCAAAGTTCTTTCTCATTAAATAAGTTGAGAAATGCTAGCTTCATCTGTCAGACTGCCCTCCTGGCTGTGGCTGTCCAAATCAACTGGCTATGGCTAAGAGGAACACACGTGTCTATGGGAAGAAGCTGTAGCCGTTAGCCATCTCTTTACATGGGCGCAAGTGTCATTTGCAAATCAGTATTGTTTGTCTGTGAAAAGTGGTCAAAAACGTTCTGATCGGTGAGTTGGGTTGTTTTTTTCTCGCAGGCATCTCCAAGCGTAGTCCGGAGCACGACCTGAGGGAAGCCATGCTGAAACGACGGAACAACTGGGAACGTAGATGGGTGCTGGACCATCCCTTGATTTAGAGCTCCGCAATCACAGGAGGAGCCGGGGACCCAGATGAAGCTGAATGCACAGTGCTGTGTAGAATTTTGGGGGCTCTTTGCACGGTTGTACTTAAATACAGAGCTGGCAAGCTTTTACTTTGAAAAAGTAGAACAGCGTACCGGACAGCGTCGTATCACATGGGGGGGGGACAATTTTCATATATTCTCACAGACGGAAGAGTCCGTTTAGTTTTCCTACAGTGCCTCATGCTGACAACTCAAATACACAGTCTACCAGTGCGTGCCAGTTACTGATTAATTTTGTGATTTTTGTTGTAACGGAAAACCTTTGCATATTCACTTGGATATTTGTAAAGAAACCCAGTTTGGTGTGGAAGAGTTGAACTTCAGTACTCAGATATGTTATATTTTGAATCAATTTTGCACTGACAGCCGACGTTACTGAATCTAACCTCAAAATGTAGTCTATTGGCTATTTGCTGAAATGCAAGCGGGCGCTTTGTTACAAGGGATGGTATTGGGCTTTACTTCGAGTGCCACAATCAGTTTTGAATGTGTAATTTTTGGAGTGCAATGAAATTCTCCAAAGCTGAATAGCCTCGTGTAAAATAACGTGATGGATTTTTGTGGCAGAGGACAACAGTTTTCTTTATTTTGTAGAGTGGGGGGGAATGCCCCTCAACAGAGATCAGTCCCTCCCCCCTTCTCTCTCAGTGTCTGTCCCCCAGTTACTGCAGCTCATCTCAACTTAGCACAGAAATTGTAAAGAAATTGAATGTGTGAGCAATATTAACCTAGTAACCGGTTGTATAGTCCCTGCCCTGTGCTGTCTCAAAGGACAGTGCATGAGCTATGGGAAATAAAACCTTGAATATGCCAAATTGTCTTTTAAAAGGAAATTTAAAGCTAATGTGCCAAGATCTAATGTGTACCTTTTTTATTTTAATCCAGTGTATCACAAAATAGAGTCACAGCTAACTGTTCTGACTAATATCATTGGATTACTTTTTGCAGCTTTACAGATTTGATGTGTAAAATCATCCTCCCAAAATTGTTAAATTAATTCCTGAAATATCTTCCTGCCACAAACTTTCATTTGAATAGACATTTCTTTCTTTCTTTATATTGATTGAAATACAGAGATTTTGATATATATTACTCAGAATTTTTATATAAATTTTGTAGTTACCAGTATTTTGATATAGCAGTATTTAACAAATTTTTCTACTTGTGTATAACGTTTATACGTGTTGCCTGTAGGCCATCTTTAACGGGCACTATTTTAGTTCAATTTGTAACTCTACTTGGTCAAGTTCCTTTAAGCCGTTCGCTAAGAGGCAAACAGTTGTTTCTCTTTCCACTTCTGCAGCCATAGATTTGTAGCTTATGAAAAATCCAATAAAGTGGAAGTTTTATTGGGAAAGTTGACTGAAGATGTTTTATCTTGTGGTTGTGGGTCCAAGTTTACCAGTTAAGGGGACGTTTAGTACTTATCAATATATTTTTTTCTTTTCAAAAGAAGCATACACTTTATTTTATGTCTTGAAAATAAATTCTGAAGATTTTACGCAAATAGATTTAGTCCACTGTGACACAAAATTTCCAAATCGATAGCAGTTTTTTTTCACCTTATATGGTGCAAAAAGATGACTGAACTATTGAATCTGAATTTTGCATTTTCTAACTCAATAATTTAGGATTCATCAAAGAGTACGTAGAAATTTGTATTCGCGTGAGATTTCTGTGAAGTTAACTGTGTTTCGTTGTTTCTTTGTTGGTAAATTACTCAAGTATTACAAAGTTCCTTTCTGAAGATTCCAAAAGATTTGAAGAAAGATGAGATGCTTTTCTTTCTTAGTTGATGAAAGCAAATTCGTGCACTATTGGCATGATGACGGCTTTTTTGTAGCTAATGAGATTAAGTGGTCGGAACTCCGTGTGGTATACCAGGCCCAATACTTTCTTTAGAACGACAGGGTACCAGTCGTTTGTTTATGCTCAAGAAATGCGCACTCTTCTCACGCATCCTCTTTCTTAGAATGGACGCCCAATTCAACATCGGATCTTACTAAATCCTGACACACGGTGCTTGCATTTTCTGGGACTTTAAACCGCTCTGTGTTTATTAGGCCCACTACGTGGAAGTGTTGATGAGGCACTGGCGGGAAACTTCGGCGTTACGCTCACGAAATATCTTAAGATCAAGCAGAAAGTCAGGTCAGTAGTCTCGTACTTTCTCCCTGAACGTCTTGTTGAAATATCGGTAGAGCTTCGCGTACGTATTGTTCCATTTACGGATCCTTCCGGCCAGTACAGAAAAGATTTTGGTTCGCGAGGAATTTCTTCAGACTGGTTGGGACACGTAGGTGAGAGAAATACCAGCAAAGCATCTTCCTTAAAATTTATCAAATACTCGTCAAAATGTTCGTGTATCATCACCAAATCCATCTCTCGTCGTAGTGATTCGATTATCTCGTCCGCAGACTTGGCATCCTGATATCTTCTTGCTCCAACCCCAGGTCGAACATTTGTCCATTTTGCAGAAACGCCAGCCCCGATTTAGACTTGCTGTTGGTCAGAAATTCCACCGCCTTTGACTCGAAAATGTCTTCAATTCGGTGGTGCTGCATTTGACTACCAAACTTGTAAAAGCTGAAAGCTGATTCCAGCTGCGAAACCGAGTACCTGATGACGGTGAAGTAAAAGCCTTGGGAATCAGGGCGTCCTGCCGGGGTCGATTGTGTCGCGCGTGATTGCCCAAGATGTGATACCCTCCCAAGGCTGGCCACACCAAGTTCCCCTTCTCTTGTCGGTTTGATTGTACTGGTATGCGAAGCTTTAGCGAAGGACGCTTTAAACTTGACAGATTTGTAGAAAAAAAATGCTTCTGGGCGGGCAAGATGAAATTGGGGTCCTTGTGGTGGCCGTAGCGCTGGAGCGTGGTGGTAATTGTGGAGCTACCCAATTTGTGAGTCTTGACGAAGACAATTCGATTGATCGGCTGACAAGGTGCGGTAGTGGTTCCTACTGTGCCACGACGCCATCTGCAGAAAGGTAACTTCATTTTATTTAAACTTTCTCATTTGGGGGGGGGGTTGAAATTGCAGTAATTTTCTTCGTGTGGTCTTGACTATCCATTTCGCCTTGATCAAAGGCCAGTCCAGCCGGGGAAACCATATCCACGTAACGTCTGTCGATGTTTGTTATGACACGACAGCGTAGAGTAGTGTTTCGTATTTATTTGGAAGAAGTAGGCCTAACTGTTATTCAAAAAATAAGCACGTCGCTTGCTGTTCGACAATCACAGGGTCTCCTGAAAACGTGGAATATTACTCACGGCAACTAATTAAACTTTGCTTCGGGGATGCTGCCCATGCACCATCCCAGCAAGCTTATGATTCGTTCACAGCTGTTGGACCACACTGGAATATTACTCCAGGCTTAAGGGGTATGCGCGTATTAAAATAAATGGAATATTAATGATGTCGTTGCTTTTCTTTCATTAATCCTCCGACTTATTTAGTAGGTGTACTATTCGAACTTGTCTTCATTGTCGGTCTGTTAATCATGTTAACTGTCCAACGGGCAGGCACGATTCTCGCTTCGCTATAGGCCTATGCGGTGGCACAACGCTCGTGCACAGGTGGTACGCGCGCGTTACATGCCTATTCGACCAATAGGGTGTCGTGATTTGCCAAATGCACGCGCGCGTCAAGCTGAAGAATGTGCGTGTCAGTGTGGTGCCACCCCAGTTATGGCCCATGATATGTAAACTAGTTCCCTTTTGTACTACTATGAATAGT